CATCCAAGGCTGCGGGTGTCGCTATTTTACTCACGCCCCAGGCTGCTTCTGATGCCACTGCGTGGAATGAACATCGCTGGAATCCGCGAGCCATCGGAGTACAAATACAGGACATGACCATCCTCAATGTATACTCGCCTAACATTCGGGCTGAGCGCGAAGATTTCTTTACGGGCTTACTGGAATGGAATATGCCTGTGGGCACCACTGTTCTACTAGGAGATTTTAATAGCGTGCAAAGTCCCCAATTAGATCGACTGGGGCAACGCTCGGCCAGCAGACCGGAAAGTCCAGCATTAGAAGGACTGCTGCAGGCGACGGGGCTCAGTGATGCCCGGCTTTTAAGAGATCATGCAGAGGACGATGAGTCTGCGGATACGACGGATCATTTTACTTATTGGAACAACGAAAAGGCCAGCAGAATCGACCGGATTTACGTGCCCCATGACTGGGCGCCACAGGTCATCTGGGTATCCTCAACACCACCTCCCCTATACTCGGACCATCAGCAAGTGGAATTACATTTACGGAACGCGCAGTCTGCTTTGAAACCTCCTAGGCGACGTCAACCTGCGTATCCCATAAAAGCTCATCAACCAGACCGCGTTCTGGCGGATTTGTTGCGCGAAATGGATAGTGCGGCGGTTGGACGCACGCCGTCAGTGCAGTCATGGGATGCGGATATTAATGAGTGCATTAATTGCATACGGGCTGTTACTCGACGAGAACAGCAGAGGCGTAAGCGATTTATTAGCAAAATTCGGCGGCGCAACAGACGACAATTTCTGATGCGTCGTCAGTGGATTTCTGCTAACATGGAAGAAATGCGAGAGGAGCATCTCCTCCGAATGGGCGAAAATTTGGAGCGTTCGGCGGAGCGGTTGAAATGGTCTTACAAGCGTGTCGCCAATTGGGAACGCAGCCAACTGGTAACATCGGTGCGAGCGCGACATGGGGAGGCTTTTGGGCGACACATGTCCATTGCGGATAAGTTTGCCTCTGAATGGGCACCAGTGCTCAGCTCCAGCCACCGTACCACAACTCTTGAAGAACTACCTGCAGCTCTAAAGAATTTGGTGACGATCCCGAAGGAGCAGCAATTAACGGATCACGACAATGAACGATTATTACAGCCGATTACAGAGACTGAGGTGCTTTCAGCCATTCGAGGATTGAGTCGGCACAAAGCGGCCGGCCAGGATGGTTTAAACAACGATTTCTATAAAGATACGTCAGCGCTGCTGGTACCAGCTCTAGTCAGCATCAGCAATGAAATCCTCAATGGGGCGGATTTACCTCCCTCGTTTCTCGAGGCGCTAATAATCCCGCTGCGAAAAAAAGAGACTCGGACGACGCGATGGATTATCGTCCGATCTCCTTACTGCAAACCAGCTACAAGGTGTTTGCCAAGGTACTGGCAACGAGATTACAGCTATCGTTACCCCGGGCCATCAGCGACTCCCAACAAGGCTTTGTGCGCGGGCGCAAAATGTCCAAACCAGTTATGATGATGATGGCTCAACTGTCGACTGCAATGGAGCAAGAGGAGGTGCCGACAGCACTCAGTCGGTGTATTTTGCTGCTGGATTTCAAGAAGGCTTATGATACCGTGGACCGGGACTTTCTGTACGCGACTCTACGTCAGTTCAGCTTTGACGAGCGATTCATCGACCTCATTCGACGTATTCACACCGGCACGACAGCCAGCTTCGTCGTAATGGTTGTTATTCCACACCTCTACAGGTTCGGTCAGGGATTCGGCAAGGATGCCCGTTAGCACCTCTTCTATTTTTGCTAGCAGTTGAGGTTCTCGGCCTAGCACTTCTGCAAGACCCCAACCTTAAAGGGCTACAAGTGCCCGGCCAGCCCGGGCAGACCCACCTTTACTCAGCATTTGTGGATGAAAACACCCTATTTCTCGAGACAGCGGAGCAAATACCCCACGCGTTACATGTTGTGCGAGCATTTGGCGCTCTTGCTGGCCTACAGGTTCAACCTGCAAAGAGTCAGCTGATATTTCTGAATAGATCTGTCATGCTGGAGAGGTACGAGGGAATGACGGTCGTCCCCGCGGGCGCAACAACTCGATACTTGGGCTATGAGATTGGAACGGGGGAGTTAGTGAACAAGAACTGGGCCCAGCGGATCCGGAAAATTCAAAGGAGGCTTCTCACAACGACACGAGTAGCAACGAGCGTGGAGAATCGTGTGTTAATCCTCAACTCCATCGTGCTTCCCTCATTATTATTTACCGCGATAGTTTTTGAATTACCTCGGTGGGCGGAAAAAGAACTGCACAATCTATACAAGCAATTCCTGTGGGCGCACGCGACGACGACAGAAAGCAGTCGCCACAAGGTTAATCCTGGACTACTTGTGACGCCAAAACAAGCGGGAGGCATCGGACTAGCGGCTGTTTCGGTAGCGGTTAAAACTCAACGCACAAAGCACGCGTTTGCTTGGCTTACTCAGAAGCCGGATAAATACTATACTGCATGGCGAATGTGGACTTTCCGGAACAATCAAGGACCGGCCGCGACAATAGTGACTCCGGCTCAGGCTAAACTACGGGCATCGTCTAACCGGGCAGGTTCGCCAGGCCATGAGCTGAGGCAGGAGCTGGGAGAACGGCTCTCCCCAACAACAGATCAACAGGACCAGGTGACCGCGTGGAGGCACGCCCACTCCTCGGCCTTACTTGACCGATCCATTAGCTGGTGGGAGGGGGACGAATTGGTACTGTCGTTCATTGACCCTTTCCCCATACGGCTGCTGGGGTATGATGATATGCCGGAGGAAATTCAGCGATTCTGGGCCACTTTTAACTGGAGTGCGAACCCATGGATTCGGGACCAGGGAGGCAACATGCTGGCCAGGACTACTTATAACAGGATCGAGGACTGCACCCTCGAACAACTACACATCCGGCGTACGGGGCCAGCGGAATTCGTTTTACGAATACCAATCCCTCAGGACCAACCCGGCCCTCATTCCAACGCAAAACTCCGTCGGTGGGCAACAGCCATCTTGCTTTCATCCCCGGACTTACCTATCGGGTCAGAGTTGCACGCGGCACCGCCACTACGCCTACGACAGGCACCACCATGTCTCCGCAGTTTTCGCTGGAAGCTTCTCGGAGCAGGCCTTATCGAAGGTCACTCGACGGATATCAAGCACGGCCAAACTCGGCCTGTCACTCTGCACCAAGCTGATGATGGGTTACACTGGTTTTGTCACGGCTTCCTGCCGGAGCTCACTGTCGGTTCGCCATCGGAACGCCAGGCGGTCTGTCGTGAGATTAGAACTTGGGGTCTGGTATTCGAAGCGCACCCGCAGCTGCATCGGTTTCCTTGGTCTGTGCCGACCACAACGTCTAATCACTTCGTTACAAAGGCCTTAGGCAAGCAAGCTTTCCGGTTCCATAAAAAGGTTCTCGCTCGCCAACTTTCCGTTCTCATTGATCGACTGTCCAAATCTGCAACGACGGATGAATGGCAATGCGCAGCGCTCCGGCAAACGCCGAGGCAAGTGTGGGATCATAGTAATGGACTCACACCGTATCAAGTCTGGACAGGGTACAGGGTGGCGACCAGACAATTAAATCTGTATCACGCTACGAGGTACGAAAATAATAGTTGCAGAAAGGCACCGGCCTGCAGCGGCAGTGAGGAGACCATTGGTCATCTGTTTTGGGACTGTGCCTGCGCTGCAGCGCTATGGGGCAAACTTATTGGTCACTGGACTGGGCAACAAGTTACCCGCCAAGCGACCAAACACTTTGTGGTGGCCTGTGCAAGCCGAAGGGTTCACAGCATACCCGAGCACCGTATGCAAAGTCTAGCGGACCGATTTCAGGATGACACGGATGCAGCCGAACGTGTCTGGACGCGAATTTGGCACGTCTTGGCAACGATATGTCACACACGGCTATGGGTCGACAGAAATGCCGCTGTCTACAAGGCAGTCCCGCTCCACCTTCCCAGCAGCATAGCCAGTTTTTGGGCTTCGTGCCTTTGTCAGCTCCGAGCGATCGCGAAGAGAGAGCATCAAAAAGTTGCGTCCGCCACAACGGGTGCTTTGCTATATGCATGCATCGAGTTGCTCGAGCGCGAACCTAGAGGGCCACCGCTTTCAACGGTGACCAGCCATGATTTACAGTCGGGCCAACCGGCGTTGACATCCTGGCTCAGGACTTTCCAGAGATCTTGCACATCGTTAACACCATGTAAATAGACGATCTGAACAACCCAAAGCTTTATGTGATGCATACAATTCACAAGTCAAAAAAGCCACACACCTGGAGACGTTTTGGTTAAAAGAGATCTCAACATGAATCTCAAAATAGCATCCGTTTCATTTCCTTACAGTATCAGCTACTAATAGCTGCTATTCCATCGTCAGTTTCACATGATACACCCTCTTTTCTAGTTTAATTTCACGTTGCGACTGGCTTTCGTTACATATAAAAACTGTAAAAGGAGGGTCCTTGTCCTACAAATACCAAGTCAGACACACACTTCCTCTACCGCTTCTTCACCTTCACCTGATCCAGTTAATAGACAAAAAAGTTTAACTCAGTGTTTCATTACCAAGTAGTTTATAATTCCAAACGCTGAGAAATGGAGCTATTGCATAATCTACCAGCATTAGTCGTGCAACTCAAGGCTCTGCGTGATGATATGGAGCACAAGTCAAAACTCTATGACTCAATTTTAAATTCGACCGACACCTTGAGATCGACTGTACCAATGTCGTTGGATTCGAGTCAGAATGGTATGCGTGGTAGCATTTTTACACCTTGTTCCAATTCAATGCTCGATCCACGAGCTAGTCAGATGACACTTGAAGATTTATCATCTTTCAATACAGCACTAGATGATACGCGCTACGCGAATACAATGGTCAGTCGTCAATCTTCCATGAGGAGACGACAGAAACAACAAGGCTTTCGACGGTTGACAAGTTTACCACAAACCCGTTCCGCATGCTCGATGAACAACATGTCCATGGGACGAATGGGACCCGAGAAATTCACGGTAATGTGGGTCAGTGGTGAGTGTGGCATCTCACTTCGCAATTTTTCTAGAAATGACAATAAAGTAGGGGCACAGATTGCAGTTTTGCAACATGCAGACGGAGTTACAACGGGCATTAGCAATTGTAGATTGGGGGATCAATTGGTGTCGATCAATGATGAACGAGTGGATGCACTGAGATTCAGTGAGATTGTCGAGAAACTTAAATTGGCTCAATGCCCCATTTCATTGGGCTTTTGCACAAATGCTAATGTGCAGACATCACCGAGAGCTGCATCGTCGCCATTGAATAACTTTCGAAACTCAACGGGGATGTCAAAGTCGGGTACTTTTTTTTCAAGTGGAGGGTCTGTAGGATCGAAGAAAATGATGGACAAATTGACAGTAGACCGACATTCGATGAGTGAAGACGGTTATACTAATGCAAACAAGTTGTTTGGTCATGATGAGAGCAGCGACATGGTGCACGAGACCATTGACCATCCTGGTTACGAAGACTTGACAAGTAAATTGCGATCGAGTAGTGGTGCAGCGACAATGACCTTGGATCGTAGCACGATAACGTCAGTGCAGTCGTCGTCAAGTACGCTGTCGGGTGAACTTGACATCTGGTTCCGAGAGCAGGAAGAGATGCATAGCGCCATTATTGTACTGCTCACGGAGACTGTCATGCGCTGCGAGAAACTACAACAGGAGAACATTGACCAGCTTCAGAACCTCATGCAGCTTTCGGCAAGCAGTCCGCAGCTCAGTGACAATAGCAGCACGATCTCTTATTATGCAGGTGGTGAGAGAGTCAGCAATGTGGAAAACTAACTCGATATGCTAGGCGTTGATTCTATCGTGTTGCCAGTTTCAAGGCGTAGAACAAGCAAGTCACCTTAGAGGTATCAGATTTTAGAGGCGATGATACTTCAACGCAGGTCAAGTAGCGGGTTGCGCTCGATTCCGTCGTCTTGTGGGTAGAAAGAGTTTTGCGAGGGACAAGTTATCGACGCAGCGAGTGCAGTATTACTGTAATCACTCCAAGACTCGTGTGCGAGCTTTTACCAAGAAGTGATAGCAATTCTCTAGTTAGTTAAACGAAGAACATTCTTGTTTTGAATGACGAGTCTGATCATTGCTACGCCACACTTGTTCAAACCCTTAAGGCTTCCAATGCAAATGATGACGCTGCTCACTACAATCGACGTGACAACAACCCCATTGCACCTACACCAGTTGCTTCAGCACCTACAGTTCTGCATGCTCTCTACTAGCATTCCTTACTGCCTCATACATAACAGATGGTGTAAGCGCTCTGTGCGACTTCAGGAATGACACGACTTGCATGGTGCATGTCTTGTGTGTACATAGCTCGACGTAACGAGTAAAACCTGTACGACTCCATACAGTTTACCAGCTTAAGATGCTCTAAGCCTTCATGTGTCCAATCTCAATTTTATCTTGATCAACAGAGACCAGTGCCAACAATGCAGCCATTGGTCGATCGCGAGATGCGGAGACCTTACGGTGCACGTTTTGACGACCTCATACCACCTTGGGCAAGTCAGCCGATTCAAGAAAAAACTTTCGTTTGTACGTTCCATTCTTCATTCCCCATTTCCTCATTGCAACGTGAATATCGATCGATATTTGAGCGTGTACTTGGCGTTGTTGTTGCGATCTCGGATTCTGTACAGTACGGCACAGAAAAACATACAGGACATTATCACTTGGTGCTTTATCCGACAGCTTCCATCCGAGTTGTATTACCACAGGCTTAGATAGGACGCACACACAGGTCTCATCGGAGCAATGACAGATTGTTCGGACGTGAAAGTATGTTTGGCTGAGGGGGGTTCCACTCAATGCATTATGCTTCCGGGTAATGCAAATGACTGTCCTCCCTGTATGTACGCTATCACGGGTGGTGGCTACTCGTGCTACACTCGAAAGAATGAAGAATGCCCTTTTGCGCCGATTTTTGCTTTATGTGAAAAATCGACTTCGACATCACCTTCTGAAAGCAGCAACAGCAAGGATAATACACCAAAGTCAACCACGAAACCCACGGAGGCACCTGCTGCACCAGGTCCAGAGACTCCGACATCCGAGACATCGACATCCGAGGAATCGACATCCAATACCAAGACACCCGAGACCACTGACCCCACTACGGATAAAGATACCTCTAACGACAGCAAGTCATTTGCGTCTGGGACTCCATCCTCGAATGATGCAGCGACACCAAACGGTTTGGATACGACCAAATCCTCCGAAATACCATTTAGTAATACGTCCGACGCAACTATATTGAGCAATACCACGGCTGCCTCCAGTCCGTCGCATACGATCAGCTTGGCTTTAGTTGGTGGTGCAGCGGTGCTAGTGGTGCTAGTGATCGTGTTTATCGCTCGCCGATTGGCGAAGAAGAAAAATGAAAAGGTCAAGAAGCTGGATCGTACAGTGTCGATGCGGGACAGCCAGCAGTCCGACGGTACACTTAGCTCAGGAGCCTCTAGCGCGAACATGTACTCGACGTACCACTACAAGATTGAAGGTGACAACGGTAATGGCATCTCGATGTTGACTGACTCACAGGGTAATAGCACATACGGCCCTAATTACGCTGACCAAACGACCCACAGCGGGCCATCTTCAAGACCAATGACTGACTTCTCTAATTATGGTCAACCTCAATTATCCAAGAACTCGCGCTTTTACAGCGTGAACACCGGGATGGGCGTAAATGGTTCACAACACTACGCAAACAATGAAATGCCTACTCCATTAACTCAGGCAGGTAGTCATTTCGTGAACGTGACGACATCTTCGTTGGACAGCAATAGGTCGCGCTCAGGAGAACATCCATTGACAGTGAGTCAGCTCATGTCTACAGCTGCAGTTGGCGAACCAGATAAGGAAGTATATGAAAGTCGACAACAAGCTGGGTCTCTAGTATACGGGCACGTACCACCTAGAGCGTTCGATTCTGCTATTTCTCAGAGCAATATACAGTTCGGCGTGTCGACAACTAGCAGCATCAGAAGCGACTACGATATCGTTGACCCCGTTACAATGCGTGAGGTTGAGGTACGCGGCAGCGAGATGGTAGCACAAGCGAATTGCTATCCTAAATTCTCATTCGAGTCGGAGGTTGACATTTACGACGGAGAGTCATCCGAAGAGGAGAGCAGCGACGATGGACAACCGCGACATGTGGTAGAGCATACGATTTGAGGTGTTAAATGAGCCGGGGACGTCAAATCCGATGTGCATTTGCTTCAAGTTTTGCAGTGCCGTCCGTCCTCGACTTGTCTGCGTTTGCATCGCCACAACCTTGATGCAGCTCTGTGGTTGCGGCAATATGAGCACACTTTCTAAAGAGATGACATATATTATGGCGATCGTGGCCAATGTATCGGAGTTTTGAGTAGGGTCGAATAAAATACGTATTGGTATTTCAAAGAGCGTCGTAGATCTGGATTTGATCTACAGATTCTTGCGATAGGTTGAGGCGATTTGGGAAGGAATCGCGGCCGACTTCGATTGCACTTTATAGAGCTGGAATATACGCTGCACCCGTCCATCGATAGCGTGCCTATTCCCCCCTTTGTAGGTTCAGGCTCAAAGTCTAGCTGGGATACGAAACCATCGGTACTATTGCAGTAGACTGAAATTTCTTTATAACGCATAATTCTCATCACCAGCTTTCCGTTGGCATGGCGGATGAACTGATGTAGCTGTTGCCACCTACAAGTGACGAAATGGGTGGCAGCACACCTCTTGGCTCTGGTCGTAATGGAGGCAAGTGAATGGTCGGTGCCAAACCATTATTGCTAACATCGGGCGGACAGAAGTTCGTAGTAGGATAAAGTTCTCGATGAGATTGCTTCAGCGTTGACGGAAAACAGAGGTCTTGATACTGAGGTGTGTAGCTCAATTCGATGGGTGGAAGCCACGTTGGCGATGTCTGCAAAGGCAGAGCCCCTGATGAAGCACCATAGCATGGAGACTCCAATAATAACGGACCCCTGGGCGATGCCACGCGGGTCATCAAAGTAGGTGCTATCTCGTGCGCATTGACTGCGCCCTGCAACAGCGACACATTGGTCGGTCTCTTAGCGTTCGGCTCGCGTTGGTCCTCCTCTGTCGCGAGAAGCGGGTTATTCGTCGTCGGGTATTCCAACAACGCTGCGAGTTTGTTTTTCTGCTTCACCAACTGCTCCGCATACGACTCGAGTCGAGCACCATCGAAGTAGCCGATAGCATGTTCCATAGAAGCAATACTTTTACGCAAGCCCGTGATCTGGCGGTGTGGCCAGCGGGCGATGCCATGCCGTCGACAGATCTTTTTCAGCAAAGTCACACAAATGCCAAATCTTGCAGCGACCTTGGCCAGTGGCTCTTCAAAATGCGGACGCAACATGTCTAGCGTGATGCTACTTGACGCCGTCATGTTGGGACGCGGCAAACTTGACTTGAACCATGATGTTGACATCGGCGACCCAGGCTCCAACAGTTTACGACGCTTGATCGGTGAACGAGTGGTGGTGCTGGAGAGATGGCGTTTGTGTCCCATTGGCGGCAAGAGCATTGGTGCGGCGGTTGAGTTACAAGTTGAGACGACGGTCTCTCTTAAACGATCAAAGCCATCCATAGTCAGTAGATCAATTGCTGTTGAGTAAGTCAAACAAGAGGTGACTGAGCAACGCCACACCGGCTGCGTCAGATTGGGCATCCACGAGCCCGCTTCTGTGGAAGTGACTGGAGGCGCTAGATTTGAAGCGGAAACTTGTTGAGTCCGGTCTTGCTAGGACCAACGGGATAATTTTCTGTCGCGATGAGTCGTGTATCATAGTGTCTGTCAGCTCGTTCTACGCAATCGTCGAGCCCGACAGAGTCAGAGGCTGTCGGCCGCTTGATGATTGCGTCAGGATGTTCCTTATCTTAAAAGCTCTTCAAAGAGTGCAAGAAGGATAGGGATCAAGCAGTGGCTTGCTTCCTCGTGCTTCAATGACCCGATCTCGACTAGAATACATCGAGAATTGTCTCTCGCAACTCACGACATCAGTTTGGTTGGACGACCGGCGGATGGCAGTGTTAAATGAAAACGATTAGCCGACCTGCAGCCAAGGCACCGGAATGGCCATCCATGAGGATATCTCACCCTCTGTGTACACCTGTTACGGTGTGTATGTAAAGCGGATGCCATCATGACCCATGAACAGTTTATGGCATCGCAGTCAACTCCGTGTAGGTGCCTGCAGCACAGTGCTTTGTCCAGGGTCTGCAAGTCTCCGGACCTTTTCATTGCAGACAGGCAAACATTACGGGCACGTCTACTCCTAATGTCACTTAGCTGCTGTCTCGTTTTTTAGCTGCAAGCAGTACTTGGGCTTCAACCTTGACAATGCACCCTGATGTGCAAAACTGTCTACTACCGCTGAGGCTTGCAGCAAGTGCATAGAGCTACGCGGCGGACGCAGACCAGAAAGGCTTTCGTTGGGGTTACGCGGAGGAACCCTTGAGGATTGGTGATGACATCCATCCCGTCATTGTAAGCACCTTCGATAATCAACCCACGAGATAGGATACTTGCTGTGTTGCGAACCACGACGAACGAGAGGCATCTAGCCTGTAAAAAAGGAGCAATTGTATGTGTCTTAAGCGCCAGCACATTGCTGCTTCCTCTTTCAAGTCACTAGCCTTTATCGTTGGGGGGTTTCGCGGACAAGTGTCTAGAATTTGCTGACAGAGCTTATTCTTCATGACAAACTTTTGTACATGTTGCGACGACGTCATGTGTTATAACGTCATTGACAGATCCTCGATTGAGTGTGTCAACTGTCTTCCTCCCAATTCCCGATGTGCTTCTTCTTGCAATGCGATAGTAAATAATCTTCTTGGCCGGCTTTCGATCTCCTCGATATGTAATCATGAGGCATCATCGTTGGTCGGAGGAAAGTATCGCCATTGCGGTTGTTGACGTTCATCCCTTTCATAGTACCGATCATCAGGTGCAGTTGTACTCGCACGCTGCGTTGATGCTACACGACTCGGGCTGTCATAGTTTTGGTGCTGTAGTATCGACGCAATAGACGGAAGTGCTCGGTGATGAGTAGCAGCGATTAAGAACCCTGGTGCATTTTCTGGCAGTAGCTCACGCGAACGAAAGTCCTTTTCACCCCACGTGTTACCGTTAGCGGTTAGAGGTCGGATTGTCAATTCGTGAACGATCTGGGTGCGAGGCGGCTCAAGACTTAGTCTAGTTGATCATGCAGGGACTACCTGCGCTTCTTTTTCCTCGTCTTCGTTGCTTGTTTCGATTGTCTTCTTCACGAGCTGCTCTGCAACAGCCGCCTCTGCGTCTAATTTCTGGAAGAGCTCTTCCGTGGGCTCGCTTCCTGTGCGTGGATATGCCTGTAGCTTGTACTCGAGTTGTAACAATTGAGCTGCGTAAGCGCGTCTTTGGTCTCCATCGAGGTAGTTCACTTGCTTGGTCATGGATGCAATGCTCTTGCGGAGTCCGCAGATCTTCCGATACGGCCAGTTGTTGATACCATTCCGTCGACATATCTTTTTCAGTAGAGTCGTGCACACACAGAAGCTATCGGCTGCTTCATGCAATGGCCTCTCAAAATGTAGTTCCAACATGTCGAAGGTTATGTTTTGCGCGGCGTTCGAGATCGGACAATTAGGTGGCGTCACTGCCAATCCGACAGAGCCCCTTGGTCGTTGAATTTCTGCTACTTTTGACATTCGGTGTCGTCCACCAGCCATAGATGTAGACCATCTCGTCGTCGTTTTAGTCCGTCGAGCTGACACCCGCACAGTGACAGCCTGTGTGTAGTGCTCGCTTTCTTGTCGCAATTTCTCTCGAGATGTTTCTGCTTCTACAGCACAATTGGAAAACACAGCAGACCCCTCTGGGTCTCCTCGGCCTTGTAAAGTGGCTGGTTGCATTGTTGTAGACTTTGCCTCACGGTCGATCATATCATCTAAAGCACAATGCTTATCGATGTGTCGTCGAGTATCGGGACTGAAGCGAGGTGAACTTGTTTCCGGAGAGTTTGCTCCAGCGGGTGGCCGCGTGATCGTAGCATGGATGTGTCCAATGATTACTATCGAAAGCGGCCCACATGAGGCGTGGTGGTGCACAGACGGATCCAATACAGCGCAATGTAAGCTAGCTTGAGTAGATGATCTACGGTCGAAGTCTGTCGAAGTGTGGGTTCCAAAATTGTTCATGACCGAATTGCTAGGTCTTTGACCACACCGTTCAGGATTATCTTCTTTCGATGCGTCTAGGGACTTCATGTGACAGTTATACCAGAGCTCAATGTCTTCTTATTGATGGCGTCGCTAACCTCGTTGACTAGCAGAAACGATTCGACGTATCAGTTGATAGCTTGGAGGAATGGTCCAATGGTCTGACGACGTCTACGATTGTCCAGCTTGCGTTGATCCAAGATCGATGTATCAAGATAGGAATAATGTCGGCACTGTATTCCTTCCCTCGCAAGTGGGATCAATTGCCGGCGTATTACTATCTTATGTCTTCCCCGTTTGCTTCTTTCCGGTTGTATTCCACACCGATGTCGCATTTTGAACGACCCTGGATCTGAGAATACGTCTTGTACAATGAAATGAGCTTTTGGTTTTCTTGGGCGCTTGACCGCTTGACCGCTTCGTGTGAAAAAGAGGGAATGCAAATTGCACCGGAGAGCGCAAAAGGCAGGCGGTTTCGTCTTCAGCACGAGTTCGTCTTCAGCACGAGTTCGTCAGACAGCTCGCAACTGAGAAAGGAAGAGACAACGTTCACATCTTGTAGGGGCCGACTTTCTTCGAGATTCTTCTTTGTTTGGGGTTGACGATCGATATACGAAAGCAATCATGCAATGTTAATAGTTGCAGCAGCTTCCAATCGACACCGTCACACGACAAGATATTACAAGTGACGGATCTTGTTCCTTTGACTTGCTGTCGGATGCAACGAGAGTATTGTCAAACAGAACTTGATGATGCTTAAGTTGATTGAGTTCCTCAAGTGGGTCTCAAAGTCTTTACAAAAAGTCACCATCGGCATGCTCCAAGGCAATCAGAACACCTTTGTTTTGCTGCACCGCCGACATTGGGCAGTCGAATGCACACTAGAATCTATAGGTAGCAGACTTCAATGCAGTCTCGTAAAGCCTTGCACTCGAGATAGAGTGTTAAGTGGACATGAACAAGTAAACTTGTGTTTTTGTCGTCTGCAAAGTCCTTACACCGAGGAAGTATCAGTGTACGTCGAAGTGTATGCATAGACATTTTTATAGAGCAATGAAGGATACAAAGAGCATCCCTGGTTTGACGTAACGCGGTGTCTACACAGACGTCATTAGATAGATGCAACTCTCTGCGCTTGGCATAACGTTTCTTTGCAGCTTGGTAATAAAGCTTGGTCAGCAGAAGCGGTCGTTGAAAGCCACTATTTAACCCGTCCATGCATGACATTCTTACGGACCAGGCATGGTTGGCGTCGAAGGTGAGGAGTGCGAGATCAGTATGCCATAAATTGAATGCCGCTTCTGCGAGTTTCCGCTTGGTTGATGCAGGCTCTTCATAATCGCGTCCCGCCGTCTTTTACGTAGCATGTCGTCGACGGCAAGACAAAAGAACATAGTTTCGTTTCGAATGCATGTGCATCATTAACTGCATGTGCCCTTTACTCGATTTGCATTGAGTTCGCGGCGCGGGATGGGGCCGGTGACATCCAGTTGGAAAACGAAGTCGTGTCATTTGTTACATGGCTCGGTAGTAGAAATGCAGCGAGCTGTTTTGGCATTTGCTGAGGCTCTGCTCAACGCCGAACATTTCTAGGCGAGGGAGAAGCTTAAATGATGGCGTAAAGCTTGTTTGAGAATTAATGGAGGGATGACAAGTGACAGGAGAAGTCTAGAAACCTCATACAAGTATATCTGGTCTCTGTTTGGACAAGGTCTGTCAGTGCTACGCAGTAAGGAAATCAAAACTCCGTACATCCTGTCAAATGCCTTTTCCTTGATGGTGCCACTGCGATGCTAGGACAGTAGGAGGACAACTTCAACAGGAATGAATGATGACCACTACCTTAGCTTCAGGGTGCATCCACGTGGCGCCACTCGATGCCGAAAAACGCAGACGCGTCGAAGTCTGGGTCTTCCACGTTCACGTTGTCCAGCCTCCCCATGATGCAGCGGTACTTGAGTGCTTTACGCGCTACCTGCGCGTTAATGGATTTCGCACCAGGGTCGTCCTGGACGACGTTAAGTAGTTGTTGCACATTCCCACACACTCGAGCCTTGGCGTCTTCGTCCTCGTAAATAAACCGAACTCGGGTAGGCGAGGCTGCTGACGCGCATGATCTGGTCGTGCGATGGCGTTGGGTGATGTCACAGTCATCATTGAACTCGCCGTGAGCAGCAACTCCGTCCCAGGACATCCGTCGACGACGAAAGTCTTTCTGAGAGCACGTCACACTGAGATTGCAACGAGCTTTGATGGTGGGTTGGCTACCGCTTGTCCAGCGATATGTAACGGGGTGCACGACGGCCGTCTCAATGGAAACCGGGTTCTGCATGTTTTGGTGTCTGGTGTTCCGCTTGTAAGAGGCAATGGCTGGAAAAAGAGTGAATGGGCCCAGTCGGCGCTAATTTGCTTCGAGGTGTATGTGCGTCGGCCACACTGAGAAGCGTCGCGAGTACAGAGTAAAAGGGCGTGCGTTACTCGATCGAGAATTTCTTGAACAGAGCTCGAGTCTACGATGCCTACTTGTGATGGTAAGTGGTCCAGAAACTTGTACAGAGATAAACTTCAAGCGTTGCAAATTTGGCGGAAGTTATGCCTGACAACTTCGTCCTGAAGTCTTCCACTGTGCGAAACTCAGATCTTCAGCATGCGACAGAAGGGAAGGAGCGTTACCATGAACGAGAGCGACCACTAGCTAGTTAGCAGACTGAATGCTAAGAACAATGTACTAGCAAGCCATAGCCAGAGTCTTTGTCAGTTGCTCGGACTCACAATTGGCGCGTAAGTATATGCACATGCGACGTTTAGTGTGATAGCCCGATTGATGTCCATCACCCATCGAACAGCTTTTGCATTGGTTTAGCATGAGAAAGAAGCTCACGTCAATTGCGGTCAATGACGCCTAGACGCATGCTCTGCCTCGTAACGCTTATTTGCGTCATTCAACGCGACATTTTGATCTCGATTACAAAGATCGAGTGAGTAAGGGTGCTCGCCAGCGAGGGCGTTTCTCGCGCACTTCAAGCACTGTCATTGCAATTGAAGTTGCATCCGACGGAATGTCAAGCATGAATGCGATTCCGTGGTATCGCGGAACTTTTCGTGACCAGCACACTGACCCCTTTTGAATTGCAGAAAAGTGTCCAGTAACATTTCCATCGCAACAACACACTTGTACGGTGTTAAACGTCGATCGGAGGTACTATTCAACCTGCCATTCTACGTGTCAAGATCCAACGTTTGGCTTTTGCTGAGATAAGTTTGACTTTTTGATATGGAGCACTACCCTTGAAACGATACTTAGACCCCTTGCTTTCTCAACCTTACACAAGACATGTAGAATGAACATGTTGAGAACTCTAATGCACGTAGCTTCATTGCTTGTTATTCACCATTCATACTCTCTTACTTTTGTAATTAGTGCTCCGTCCCAAGTCCTTGTTTCTTATCTTGGTTGCTTCAAAAAAATAAAATATCACCGTCGTCTACTGCTGCGTCTTCCCTTGGCAAAGAGAATCTTGATAGACTGCAAGTTACCCACTGTTCCATCACTTTTTCACCTTGGTCCATGTAAACGTCTTTAAACTGCTTTCCTCCGCCAATTCTGCGTCCCTCCTCTTTCAAAACCTGTTTTGTGCCTGACAATTTTTCAATCAAATCCATTCGCTTTTGGGCATATTTGCGCTTCCTTTCTTCACTCCAAGAAGTAGTGGCTTTGGCGACGGTTCATGATCCGGTTGACGTCGACGTCGTTCCGGATGCAACGCATAGTCCATTGCAGTAATGGCTTCAGCATAGAGTTGACTAGCTTGACTCATACGTCGATTTACTTCGTCTGCATAGTCATGTCTGTGGGCTTCATGAGCTATAAGTTCATCTTTTCGTTCCTGTTGTTCTTCTACAACACTTTGACGATGTGACGAGGTACTGGATCTCCTAGATGACGAGCTTTGAGATGTTGCAGGGTTACTGCTTAGACTCCCCCTTCGAATATCTTCCGGGTCATCAACCACATGAAATCCTTGGTCCTCATCTTCAAAAAAAGATATAATCTCTTCATCATCATCATCATCTTCTTCTTCATCATCTTCTTCTTCTTCTATTAATTCTCCATTCATTCTCTTTTGAACAAGCTGCAACGTTTCAGCAGACTGTCGCTTCATTTCCTGCAGCTGTTGACGTAAAAAACTCTTTTGTCTCATGGGTTTTGGACGTCCTAATTCTTCCCGTCGTGCTGCATTGGCTTGTTGCTGGTTTGTTACGGCACTAAGTGTTCCCACAGGACGTCGTCGAATGTTCTGTGCCGTCTCTTCGTCATGTTCCCGGAGTAATTTATTCTTGTGCTTGCCACTGCTGATACTACTCACGAATTTATTGACAAACCATGAGCCAAAATTACTATTAGTCGGTTGTTGTTGACGTCCCATACGTTTTCGCCACGTACTGGGGGCAGTAGTCGATGGAATTGAGCTGCTCATGACGAGTTTAGTGTTACTTAAGAAAGCCCAAACCACAATAAGTGTCTTCCGATTGTGGCGTGATTCCGTCTGTGCCAAAGTCTTTGACCAAAAGGCAAAGTCGTTTTTTTGTCATAGCGAGATTAGGGTATATCGTGCGGAAGTCATGCAAAAAAAGAATCTTCAAAAACGCCAAAGAAAATCCCATTCGTCAAGTCACTATTTCGGTTGATTATGCCAAGAAAATGGGCACTTTCGTGTCCAGTTTGTTTAACTGGGAGCGAGAGACGTACAGTATAGAGAATGCGCAGTCTCTGTTTCCATTGTCCGGCAACTTGCCGAGTGAAGGGAAGTTTAAGAGAGAAAAAAACCCTTTTTAAAGGATGCGCGGAAAGTGCGCGCAAAGATCCACGAGGACGGAGGTCGTCGTGACAATCAACATGTACAATCGTTAAGATCAGAAGGGGTGGTACTTATTGTCGTGTTGTCATACGAGGCCCATCCAATCGTCTTTGATAAAGCGCAGCCGCAATGATCTTCACGTTGAACTTATAACGCTAAACCTTCACGGGCGATAATACGGACAGTTGCAAAATGGCTACACGGTTCCGCATTCTCCCAGCTGAGATCGTAGTTGTAATGGATACCTTTTAAGCTTTAGTTTTTTGCTGTCCGAGCTTTCATGATGAGTAGAATCTGTGGGGACTTGAGAGTAATAAAATGCCGTCGAGATACGCTCAGTCGTGTCTGCGGCGGATCTCGAACAGTCCAAATTCCCGGCCCCAGTATTCCTTTGGTAGTTTAAAATTCGGAATCTTGTAGTACTCAAAACCATCTCGTTCCAATTGATGGAAGAACGTAAACTCCGTATCAGCACGGTTTAAACCCAAAAGAATCAGCGTCTGCGGTGTTGCCAAGCGGTTTATCGTGTGGAGCAACGGGTCATAGAGTTCCGGTTGGTATGCCACGTCAGTACCTAGGATGACATCGACCTGTGTAGCTTTGTGCTTATCCGTGCCATCATTCGTCGCAGCAACCAACTCCATCAGACTCATCTCCTGCTCCAATGATCCCCAGCTTAACTCCAAGACGTGCACCTGTACACCAGACCGCACTGCCTTAGCATTGCGCTTCACATTACGATATAACCCACGGATGTGCGTCTGTAGATCTGTTAGACACACATGTGCCGGTTTAAAACAGGCAGCAATCATAAGTCCGACGTAACCTGTTCCACTGCCTAGTTCCACTATACAGGCACCATCAAAGATTGACCGGTAATACTCTCGTTGCAGCTCCAAATGTGCTGCCAATAGCTCGCCACTGGTCCAAACGTAACCGCCAATACCTGGTGCCCAGTCGCATTCAAACTCAAGTAAAGTCTCACTTTGCACATCGTCGTCGACTTGCACCCGCAATGGGACGATCGTTATTGTCTCATCCTCTTCCTCTTGTTGCTGGTTTTCGTTGTTATTGCACGAGATGTCTCGAAAACTGACCTGTTCCTGATCCCTAACTACTGGCACTGATAGAATTTGTAGCTCATGCATTTCACGTAATGGGGTAAATGGAATATATGGCCCTTGGTATATTCAGCCCTGATCAAATATTCGGACCTTAACTTCCCATTGGACTGGTTGGTCTCCATTAATTCTTATTTTATAGAGTGAAAGGTCATTTTCTTGGATGGAATATGCTCTTACAGAGGTAAGGAATGAAGTAATTTGTCAATAGAAAGTCTAAAATTGGAATTTCTAGCGCAAAAATTGTCTAGATAGTCGCGTAAAAAATGTTAATGGTGACATTTCACAACCACCACCACCGATACATTGCCACAAGATACTAAAATAATCGTCGTAATGCTACGATTGTTACAATATATCGTAAGCGCCAAGCTCTTTCATAATCGGCAGCAACATTTGCCCTTGACCATCAAGCGCATTAGACGTAGACGTACATGGAACACAATCAGGACGTTCATTTAAGAGAACTAGTACTCGATGCACGCTAAAAATCCTTTGTAAGCTTCAGTTTGTTTGTTACACACACACACACACTTGGTCTCCTTACAGCCATTGCATAGTTTGTATCATTACATGGAAGTGATCGCTCCATTAAAAGATCTTTTACCTGTAAAAAGCCGTGCTTTGAAAGTCCTTTTGTCCCCTGGGAAGCGACTTTCAACTGATACCACCATGCAAGTCCCACATGAAGCGACTCGTCTCATCACTTGATCCCACAATCTTTTTATCGAAGGTTCTGTCCATGCTGGAGTTGGACATCATCGTCTGTTCCACGTCGGGCAAGCCTGTCTTTCGCCATAAATTGTCCACCTCAACGACAACCTGTTCATCGGTAGAGGACGATGCGTCCACCAGTTCGTTTACCAGCTCGCTTCAAGGTCTCTTGTCGTTTGTGGTCTGCACGCAACAAGAAGAACTGCTGGAGCTTCATACTGCTGGCTGTCGTTGCGTCTTCCGCAGTGTCGACAACCTCACGTTTGCTGCTATTGAACGGGATGTCGACAAAGACAATAGTGTCCACCACAGGAGGACATCGAGTTACGCGTTGGAATGTCTGCAGCATCTGCTGCGCTTGCTGCAGAGCCAGATCTTGTTGGTGCTGAGCGACCGAGGACTCGACGTACTAAAGAGACAACCAGGATACGATCTGCGTGAACTTCTCAATGGAACGGACAGAGTCACGAGGTCGTTGACAGAGCTCTGGGCAGTGTCACCTACGCTGAGATTCAAGGACTGTGGGGTGCCTTTCCTTCGACTGAAACCGGAGCGACGACGTGAAGTCACGAGAGCTTTGGAATATGAGGCGACCAGCGAGAACCCAACGTCGACAATGATATGCGGCCTATTGTTGGCAAAGGAGCAGGTGGTGGCTATTGCACAGCCAAACAAGAAGCAATTCAACATGTTGGTTGATGGTAAGGAGACGACTATGAATGAGAGGAGAGAGAGAGTGCTTTACTAAGACGGAATCGTGTGGTATGTAGACCTGATACTGCTGATCAATTTCGTGTATCACACGCCGTCACTAGTAAAGTCCGAGACGTGGACACCAATTTGCTTGTCAAGCTTTGATGCCCGGTGAGTAAAGGATCAATTCTGCGAGTACTAGATAGTTTTCGTTTGTGTCCTGACAGTGAGTTTGAATCGTTGTGCTTGCTTTGGGTAGAGGATTTCTGTACGCGTATGTGGTCTTCTTGACGAATGACGTGTGTTTGCTGCTACTGAGCAGCCAGCAATCTCCAGAGCAATTCCTTCACTTCCAAGCAAAGAAAGAGTTTGTGGCGCAGCGTCTTCAGGAGATTGGTGCTATGGATGATATTGAGGTTTCACTGAAGAACCGTTCCGAGTGGCAACCTCATAGCGATCTGCCACTGCTGCAGCATTTCATCTACAAAAACGAACTCACAGGTGAGTGCGCTGAACCCGAGTTGACATTCCCATTCGACAATGAGGATTTTGGCACTCGTTTGGAGCTGATGAACCAGTACGCTACGGTACACCATTTGATGTTCCCGACGCCGGCAGATCATCAAGCTCGTGAGAGCCAAGTGTTGGGCAAGCGGTTATCATCATTGCAAGAAGCCACTGCGGCACGTATGGTGTACGAGCGCAGCAAAATGGGTCTCTTTGTAGGCATGTGCAGTGCTGACTATCGGTTGTTCGTGTGGTTCGACTCACTCGTGACCATCTGTGACGCTCGTGAACAAATACAAGTGCTGCTTGATCGACTTCGCCACGATGAAAAGCTCATGTCCATCGCTCTCTTCCTTTCCAGCAGCGGGTTTCCGTCCACCAGCTTGCTCGGGATGTGGCCTTGAGCTATTGCAAGCCAGCAATGAAAAATCCTAGGCACTGTTTGTCTGGGCTTCATATTCTTGCGGTATCTGCAATCACGGTTCTTACTTACAGTTATTGCCTTCTAATGCAAAGTAACGTTTGTAAATGTTCATGCAAGTCGATTGTCTGGTAGTGACGGCTGCCAAACAACCAAATATTTCAGCCAGGATTGCTACATTCACAATGACATCGTAAGAGTTCTCGGACTAGCACGGATTCATTCAAGGCTCATACCTTCCAAGCGAACAGGCCACACATTAGCTCGGAGCTAGTTGATTACTGGAATTCTCAAGGTCAAGTAGACTTCAAGAGCCAACCATCCTTTTTTATCGGGCGCATGCACAAACTTGGACGCTTTTGACAACAGACTGGGAGTATCGATTGTCACTGGGGAGCAAAAACGAATGCCGGCGGTGGGAAGCACTTTACTCTTGAGTCACCCAAATAGAAAGAGAGCACTTCAACATGAAGGAATACGTCTCTGGCACAATCTTGATCCCCGATCAAAGCGCTTTCGATGTTTAGTTATCGCTTTGGCTTTTTGTCGCCCAGCATTGCATCAACGCTGATGGTGGTGCCGTCGATTGATTCAGTGAGTTCCAGTATGCTAATGGACGCGGTGGATCCTCGTTGGCGCTTATCGAAACTGCCGTCACTTGAAAGAGCACCCAATGCAGGGTGCCGTTGCATTGTTCTTGTCACAGAAGGAACTTCCTCTTGCACTGCATGCACCTCTCCATTTTCCTCCACTTCTAACTCCTGGTCCGAATCAAAGTCGTCATCCTGAATTCCAGTGTAACACAAGCTTTCGTCCTCTTCCTCAAGATCATCCGTGATTCGACTCACGAGTGTCGTGAAGTTTCCAATCATGGATTGGGACAGACTTATACCCGATGTCAAACTGCGTGTCGTACCAGTTGATTCAGCAAATGTCTGTGAGAGTCGCGTAGAAGGCAAGCCGAAGTTGGACGTGTCACTCCGTGAACTCGCGAAAAAATGACTGTGTGAGTTTGGACGACGTCTGCGAATGCTAGCATCGTTACTATGGCTCTGCAAGGGCGAATTGTAGGATCCACCAGTCGACAAGAAGCTGTCGCACAGATCCGAAAACCCTCCTCGAAGTTGCGCATCGTTTCCATTAGCGTGCCCGTCACTGCCAACGCCCGAAAGTTGACCACTCGAAATAAAACTAGAAAACTGTCCACCAGCGTTAGAGCTCGACACTTGACCGGCAGAGTTGAAACTGGTAATTGGACCCTGAATACTTATGCCATATACCTCTTCTCGCAGCGCGTCTAGCAAGTGTCGTAGCGATTGACGAAAGCCCATCATGTCGCCTTTCGTAAAAAAGTGGAAAAAATCGCTGCGTGAAAGGCTGTACTTGATATCGAGGGCGAAGTCCATGCGGTTCACTACCACAGGCAATATTATCTTTCCTTTGTCCTCTGCGAACGCAAGCTGATCCTTTACTAGTTCGCTTGCCAACGTCTTCTCAGACATGAGAACAACAAAGGCCGAGCACTTGAGAATGGCTTCCTTTGCTTCAAATATGCGCATCGACATATCCTCGTTTCTTGACAACATCAAACGCTTTGGTTGGGACTTTTCTACTTCCTCTTCCTTGTCCTCCGCAATAATTGGCGACAATTTTGCCATGTGCTTGCGGTCTACATAGCACCTAAGACCCCCCTCCCGGCACATTTCAACGCACAGCTTGCGCACAAATCGCTGGTGGTAGTCTCCATGACTGATGAACACAAATTGTTCGCCGCTGGCTGTAGCAGTTTTGAGCTCTTGCAGATCTTCCACAATACTGTCGTTGGGGTTTGGTTCATCGATATCATTTGAGTCTCGTTCAGAGATGACATTCTTGCGTCCCCTGCGTGTGGGCTTGTCTTTGCTGGCTGCTTGGTGAAAGTAATATCCACCGGTGTCGAGAATAATGCTGTCCGAGACGCCGCAGTCGTCAGCAAAGCTGCTTGAGCTGCTGGAGCTGCTAGTACCGCTTAAGACGCTCAGATTTGTGCCGTTGTAGTCGTAGTTATTGTTAAACCGCATGCCCCGTTGGTTGGCCGGAAACACACCGTTGGAACCAATGGACCGAGACGATCCCTGCGGACCACGGCGACGGCTGCCGATTGCCATGGGCATCGTCGAATCATCACCAACGTCGTGAATCACTGAACCGCCCGAGTCACTGGCGTAGTAATTGGGTGTATCAAATGCAGACAATGCCAGTGCACGCTCATCAAACTTCATAGAATCCATACCGTACGCGCTAGTAGAGCTCATACCAGAGGTCATGTGATTAAGGCGGCGGCCACGCACACCGCCACTTCCATGGTTTAATCCTGCCATTGGATTCGTCTCCGCACGACGAATGTTGCGCTTGATATTGTCCTCCTTCCGCTTCTCAATCTCGTCACGCATACCATCCAGCAACATACGCAATTGATTCTTGTATGCTTCTTCATCGTATTCGTATCGGGTTTTCTTCTCATTTACCTTCTCGACACTCACAATAGCACTTTCAAACGGCACGAGCTGTCGCGTGTACAGATACACCTGAAGCTCCTCAGAAATCTTTGCATGTTCTGTGGAGATGGCCATAATGGGCGTGCCTACTTGTTTGGCTAATGCCAATTCCTTCAAACACCACTCAGACTGCGCATAGTCCTCCGTTAGGATACAAAGTACAACCGCAGCATTGTTAATACCACGTGCAATTTCCTCTCGCCAGACTGATCCACCACCTATTCCACTAGGATCCATGAGATCAAGCCACACGGTAATGTTTGCATCCTCCAGTGACTTGCGGAGCTTCAGAGCGAACTCCATGTGCGAGTGTGTGTAACTAATCATCACATCACGAGTACCTGCTGCCCGCTTGATCTCGAACTGCAGTCTCGTGGACGTGGTACAATCGATAGGTCGGAATCCGTCGTAGTTCGTGCGCATGATGTCACCTCCCATACTCAACAATGCCAACGCTGTCTGTTGATCGTCCAGTTTAACAGCCAAGTGCAATGCCGTATCACCTGTCGAACGAAGCTGTCGGTTGATATCACCGCCACTAGCAACTAATGCCTTGAACATATCCGCAGTTGTCCCACCAGCACAAGCTGCACAAATGATGGGCGTCATGTCACCATTATCTACAATTGTCGGGTCGGCACCTTGTGCCAAAAGCACGCGCACAATATCCACACGATTCACTCGAGCAGCCCAGTGTAGCGCTGTTCGTCCATGTGCATCCTGGAAATTGGCATTGGCCTTAGCAGCGAGCAGAATCTCGACAGCTCCTACTGCACCGTTCACTGCCGCCCAATGTAGCGGTGTACGCTTGTTGAGTCCGACGTAGCCCAATTCACCCAACACGTCTGGATTTACCTTCTTACGCAAAAAACTTCGGATCGTTGCAACATCATCCATAGCAGCGGCAGCGTGCAGCGGTGTCAGTGCCACATCACCACCCCAGTCCTCCAATACTTGCGCAACGGCATAGTTACCTCGCAAATAGGCGAGTTGTAAGACTGTAATAGTGTTCATGTGACCAGGATCAGGGATCGCGAGATGATTCGCGCCAGCTCGTAGTAGTACGTGCACAATTTCGGGGTGATCAGCCAAGAATATAGGTGGTAATCGGCCTTCACAGCGGTAGGATGACTTGGAACAAAGGTTGACGTCCGCTCCGTGAGCAACAAGCCAGCGTACAGCGGCCAGACGACCTGTACTCACAGCACAATGCAGCGGTGTAACCAGCGTCGTTTTAAACACGGAGCTGTAAGCCTCATCAGCTGAGACTACAGGTTTCGGGATGAAATAGCTCGCGAGATACCAGAACAGGTCGCCAGTACTGAACCTCACACGTGAGACTTTGTCAAAAGAATTGACCTTAAAATGTGCCTTGTACAGCAGGTCCATGGCTGCGATATTTCCTTGGTATGCAGCAACATGCATGGGATTCTTCTTGGCAAGTCCAAAGATGCCAAACACCATGGCCGGGTCTGGGTACAGTTCTCGCGCAAAGCTCTCACCCAGATGTAGCTTTGCGATACGAATAGAGCGACGAATAAGTCGGAGATCACCAAGTTGAGCTCCTCGAAAAAGTCTCTTTCGAACGTCTTTAACAACTGCAGATTTGGCCGGAGTCGGAAACGTTGTCTCGGCTCCATTGCCGTTCTTTTGTTGCTGACGATTTTTGTGCTTCATCTTGGAACGCAACATGTGCGCCTTCACGTCACCTGTCTGATCGCTCTCTTTGAACGCACCCAACTGCATCTTTAAATGTTCCCTGAATCTCGCAAAGGCGCGCATGAGGGCAAAGAGCAGCCAGAACATGATAATAGCACACCCGCAAAAGACATACGCCGCGATATTCGAGTCACAGTATACAAAAATTTTCCCGCTCGCAACGTAGTAGACGAGAAAGCCGAGAACCAGCGCCTCATACAGGAAGATTCCAACGCCCACGAGTTCACAAATCTGTAGACAAATTGTCCGCTTGACTTTCTGTAGTCTCCCACCTCGATCAATCCGCTGTTCTCTTCGAAAAGGTTCAAAAACTCGAAAACCTGAAGCTGGCAGTCCCAATATAAACACTGCTGGGAACAAATGATACACCAACGCTGCCAACGCCAACGACGTGGAGCAACTATGCTCGTCACTATACACCAAGACCTTAAGTGGCGACCCGACATATAATTTACCATGTTGAATATCATCTGCCTCTGCTTTATAAAAGTAAAAAAAGCCAAGCGCGACGAGATCTCCAAGCACAATAATCTGCGAAAGTCTCAGCAGCTTTCTTGAAAAGTACGAATTGCTCTGGAATTGACCATTGAGGTATCTCATGGGCAATTTCGGCACTTCGGAGCCACTTTTGTCAATTGCACTCATGTGCAATGTATGTTCCGTGACGCCAGCTTTACTGTCCTGCTCCGACTCCTTTAGAATTTGTTCTTTTTGTGCTCCTAGTTCATGATCCTCAGCATCTTCAAGTGTCCTGGTCCTTGATTTTTCAACTTCCATTGGATCGAAAGTAGTAGCAGCTCTATTATTTTGACGATCATGTTGTTGAAAGTTTTGATGTTGTGATGCCCCCGATTCAGCAGTATCACTATTAAAAGTGTCTTGTCTTGTCACGATCTTGGTCAGAGCATCCACGGGTGTCTTGAATTTTGTATATTGCGTCTGTATTGTACGTCTTTCGTGACAATTGGCTTCCTCTTGGTCTTGATCCGTCGTCTTGTTCATAATTTACACTGAAAGTTCCAAGAAATTGAATTTTTTTTTGAAAGACCTCTTAATGACCTTCCTTCCTTCTGTCCGAGTTAAGTGTGACTCGTTTGCAAGAAGTCGTCTCGTTTATGAATGAGACGACGTCGACCGTATCAACAGCTGCTCTGGACATAAACAGGTGATTTGGCTGACTAGATTATTGGCTGATACTGAATTTCATAGGACTTTATAGTAGATGGACGTTTGCGAGACGGATACAATAATTGTGTCGACGTGTCGCATGGGAAGTTATTGCTGACAAAAAAAAACCATGGGGTGGTTGCCAGATGGAGACATTAAATGACTGGTCTCGATGGGTCGTCATGTGAGACGCGTAAAGATGGACATCAAGAAACGTACAAGACGTGATGACGACCGAGTTTTTTCTGCCGTTTTTTTCGATTGCGTCACGTACGGACGATTTCCCGCTCTTGGACGGGAATGCACAGTTTCAAAACGATGTACATGCAGCACTGTCGATTCCTTTTTCTTTTGAAAAAAGACAAGTGACGTACTGCGAAATGATGGCGTCCGAGGTGATTGGAGTTGAGAAGCGGTGGAATGAATGCAACACTTACATGTGGCTGGGCTTTACTTGCAGTCGAGAGGATGGAAGTTGGTATTATCGTTTGAGAAGGAACGTCACCTGTTACGAGAAAAAGAGTTAGTTCGCGATGAACTTTTGTCCGACCTTGTTGTTTGTGTGACCTGGAAACTTGCGATGAAAGGAGGGCACAGGAACGATGATTGCAACTATCGATTTGGAGGCATCGGATTACGATATGATATGGTTGGTGCGGCGTTATCAATTATTGCACCGCCTTATGGCCCACTTCGTCGACTTGACTCATTTGGTCCTTGGCTGCAATCAGAGCTGGAAACTGGATAACACGACCGATACAAAAGTGCGCAGGATAATGGTGGCACCACAGAGAATAGCACCGTAGATCAGGTATACATCCACGAGGTACGTCTTGTATAGCGGTTGCAAGTTGCGCCTTGGAAGCAGGTGACGAGATCCTAACTCGGCAACGGTTAACAGCTCGTCCACGGCGCGTTCCACCCCTCCGCCAGTCTTCACAAGCTCTCCAAGGTACTTGGCGTTGCGTTTAAAGTGCTCTCGCTCGTCAAACAGCATTTTATCTACTTCCAGACGCAAGCGATCTTTGGAGAATGATTTTCCATCCAGACGACAACCTGCACCCGCTCGCACAACAGCGTTCACGCCTTCAGTTTGCTCAGCTGAGTGAGGGAGACCCAAGATGGGTACGCCAACGACGAGAGCCGCTTGTATGCTCTGAAAATCTCCTGCAGTGATCAACAACTCTATCTCAAGTGCAAGTGCGAGCACTGTTGCATCGTCCAACGCTTCACCAAGAAAAAATACCGAGTCTCGAGGACGTGAGCGCAGATCGAACGCTGCTTGCTCTTTCAGTGTGATCTTCCACAATAGTCTGAGATTCACGGTCTCAAGTGCGTTCATCTGCATGCATTCCAGACACCAGCACAGTACAGTCAGCAACTGTAGTACGAATCTATGAATGATCCATCGAAAACTGCACAAGACCTACGATAGTCACGATAAAGTCTGGGGCCATGGGTACATCAGTTTGAAAACTGATAAAGACCAACGGTCTTTCCTGGTGCTCAGGAGCCTTCAACCACGTCGTCAGCGCCGCTGGAAATCTGCTACGTTCAGCAGAACAACTCTCAGCTTCTTTGCGTTCAAGCTGCAGCTTTTGCGACTGCAAGAGGCCTACCATTCGGAACTGAGGCGTCATAGGACGCGCTTCATCCAAACCGAAAACCGAGTTCACTAACACAAGCGAATGGCCGTGCATCTGATAATTACTATCAATGGCTTCAAGTCCGTGTTCTTGCCGCACGGCATTAATCTCCTTATACACATGTACTAGTCCCAGTCGAAAGCGTAGTCGATAGTAGATATTTAAACACCGTTCTAGCACGCTCGTAGTCTATTCCAAAAAAACGTCACATCAGGGTCAAAAGTTAGTACATCATTAATCCTCACCATCCATCAACAATGTTATCAACTTCTTACGTGCATAGTAAAGTTAGAAAAAGGTGCAGGGATGTATACAGGAGGCGAGTCAATGTCAACTAGCAAGTGAGGGTTATTCACTACATAGGGTAATTGCAGTCGATGGCAGACATCAAAGCCTGCAAAAGTATATCGATCAACAACCACAAGATCCGGTCGGTCAGCTGTTAATTCTTGGAGCAATGCTTGAAACATTGGCCGTTGAAATGATGCATAATATTGCAACGTATTGGCATAACTCGTATAAACTCCAAGCTGGTCTAATTCCTTTGGGTCCCGTGCCATTCCTCGGCTTTTACCCTCGATACTTCCTAAAGAGATAAACTCAAGACCTTCAAGGTCATGAACCCATTGCCTGCAATTCTCTGGAAGTGCAAAACCTACACGAACACCACGAAATAGCAGTGTCTCGGCCAGATGTTTCAGGGGCAGCATCTTGTCAAATACCGGGATGCTCACTAAGACAATGTACAGATCACTTGAAGTTGCCACTGCATTGTCAGTTTTGCTCTTGGGTCCAATAACTGTCGTAGTAGCAGCATCAGCTTTGAGACGCCCCAGACAGAACATAAGGCCCAATGTTAAGAAAAGCCACACGTTTGCTCGCCATTGACGCTGTAGACGCACATGAAGACTTGCATGGGTATCAGTGAGTAAAAAACATGATGGAGACGAGTTTAAAAGCTCTACGCGATGAATGTAAGTGGGTTGTACGGCTACAGAGCGCAGTTCCGAGACACCAAGCAGCTTTGTCTCGGTCATAGCTCACAAATTGGGCACTTTTTTGGGTACTTTTTTCAAAAATGGGACGACTTTTTATTTTGACGTGTTGAGGCTCGTAAAACGAGGGAAAGGACGAGTGTTATATAACAGGTCTCACAATAGAATGTAACGATAGAATGTCACGATACAAAAAGTTTTTTAGTCAATTTGTTTACTAAGTTGTTGATCAATGTCATCGTCATCATCATAGTAGTACTGTAAAATGCCAGCGATTGATAATTCTTCGGCTCCTGTCACTTTCTTCGGCGTTTTTTGTTGTTTTCCTTCTCGTTCCTTTAAACGTCACTGTGTTCAAGCTAAATAGTTGTACATCCGTCGGTCCGTCGTGCTGCGCTGAAGGTATTCACGCTCAATGAGGCTTTCGATGCGCAGCTTGATAAGCTGCGGAGACGGCGTAAAACGACCTGACATCTGTCGAGTGACTTCGGCAATAAGCTGGTTGTGCTGCATCTGCTTGCGTGTCTTCATGATACGCACGATTGCTGCTTCAACGAGATGCTTACGATCCTCAGCAACTGTAGGTGGTAGCGCATCGGCTGGATTGCTTGAGCTTAATGCCACAGCAGGCAACAACGACGTCTCCTTTTGTGATACCAGCGGTATCCGTACGCGATGGAGTTTCGACTTGTAGCCGTTGTTCAGTGTAAACACGTCGGTTTCCTCATCGATCCGCTTTCCCTTTGAGCTCTTGATCAAAATCTTGTACTTCGGTGTACAGAGAGAAATCAAATGCCGCTTGAGATCCTTCACATCAATACGCGTGCGCTCAACTAAGTCCTTGAAACGCCACTCCAAGCGCTGATTGAACAACATCAAAATGACCGCTTGGTACGTAGACACGTTCAGCTCGTGACGACGCTTCGTGTCCTCTACTCCCGCCGAAAATGAAGCGCGAACATCAACAGTTCCCATATTTACCATCCATGCCAATTTACGACCATTGTGTCGTGCATAGTAGAAAGATTCAAATGTCTGTGTAAGCTGGACAAGCTCCGACGGTAAAGCACACATAGGAGCCATCTCCGTGGGCCAAAAACCGCTAGTGAGTACGTGCATCGATAACGGCATCGGTGTGACAGATGACATGTCAGTACCAAAACTGTTCCCTCTGGCGTCGTAGCCTGATTTCCGGTATAGTTCCATGAGGTCTTTCGAAATACTCATATCCTTGAACATGCCCTCCAGTTTGGACGTAAACTGGTAGCCACACTCGGCCTTGAGCTTGGAGATCACGAGCTTCTCTGCCTCGTCCGAAGTACCACGACTATTAAGGAGACGCTTGGCGAGCAAGACCTTGTAAAACTCTTCGAAAACATCCTTATCCTGTAGATACCGGAACAATGCAATCACTTGAGTTACACGACCATCCATCTCTTCTTCAAACCTGCTTTTAGAACGCAGCAATTCATCTAGATAGTGTGCGAGATATCCAGCACACACTGTGTTAGTGTTCATAAACGCTTCGAATCCCTGTTTAATGGATTTGTGGAATTGTGGGTCGTCAAAAAAACAAACCAACAAGAAACCCACAAACTTTTCGCGTAATCTCAAAAGCTTTTCCACAAATTGCGATGCGTCCAATGCTGTCTCTAAATTCGACTGTGTCTTCACTACCTCCTCGCCAGTAGTTTTAATATACTGCAAGACACAGTCACTGATCTCAGCTAGTGTGCTTGGTACTCGTCGAAAGAGTGAGTACATCCTGCGCAGCGCCTGTGTCTTTCCATCACGGAACAATGCAACACATCCAGAGTGTTCCATCTCTACTAAAGCTTTCGCCTGGTTCTTAATCAACTGCGTCTCGACAATTGTCTTCAACTTGTGTTCAGTTGACGGATTCAAGTAATGCAACACCCGTGCGCCTTCTTCATTTAGACGTTGCTCTGCTTTCTCCAAATATTCGGAACACGTTGCAATATCCAGCATCGTCTGTGCTTCTGCTCGATAAAAGTCCAATGTCGTATCAAGAAATAACTTTTCAAACTCCTTCTCGTAAACTGCATTCGAGTGTACACCAAGATCAATGAGCATACGTAGTATACTTTTAATAAGGTCTCGATCAATAAGTTCTCCCTGTCGTTCTGTCTCAATACTCAGCAATAACCTCGTACGTAGACGATCACGTATACTATCACAACGTACAACAACATCTCGAAAAATATGAAGACCCTTGTCATATACTGGCAGTTTTCGCTTCTGTGTAACGTACGTACGGTCCATATACATGAGGATATCGCGTACCATCGTCATGACAATTTGATAATCCATCCATTGCTCATTAAGTGTTCCAAGTAATAATTCATCTGATACTGAAGCTATTTGGTGTGCGACACACTCCAGATGTTCCGTAATGACGTCAACAACACCATTGTATAACACATCACCATGTTTATGTAACACGAGATTATAGGAGTTACGATAAAGCTCTTCAAATGATAATAAACTCGCATTATGAGAAAAGATTTCGTATATGGCTGTACGTAATAAGATCCAGATTTCTTGAGCACGGGTTGGATCCATGCCCATGTTTTGACGATAGGGTTTAATTACGAGCTTCTTCATATTGAATACAGTATGGGGATTTTTATTCATGGAATTGGGAATGGTACATTGTACCAAATGCAAGTAAAACGCATTTTGATTGGTTGAAAAGATCAGTGAGTTGTTCCGACCTAAAACGTCAGTGCTCTTGGATTGACTAATGGATCACTAGTGCTGTGCTATGACAGCATTTCTAAGACATGATACACCAAGAATGGAAGCAGAGGCACTCGACTTGAAGTGCTGGATGCCATTTCTTGAGCGGATGTAGCAGTAACGCTCTCGACGCGGCGGTGTAGACACGATAGTCTACGTACTGAGTCCAGTGTCTCTATTGCTAGTGTAAAGGAGCCAAAAAGCAGCTTGCAATTTACCGGATCATTCTCGTGTCTTCATCATTCTGAGCACTGCTGAGGACGTTGACTGAGCCAAAAGGTTTTTCTGTAAAAGCAGTCAAAACAGCAAAAACTGATAGAGAGATTCACAAAGTGTGTCAACTTCGATATACTACGAGAAGCAGTACAACCCGAGATTACAAGCCGCATTGCCTACCTTGCTTGACTCTCTACGCGTGCTTTGGTTTCTTGTTCCGTGCATCTAAGAAATTCGTCATGCCCTGGTCGCTCCCCACGACACCTACGCGGCCGTGCACCGTTTCGGGTGAAGCAAACATACTTGAGCCTCGTTTTGATAACACTCCGCTCACACCTTTCTTGATACCTTTCTTCTTGGCCTTGTATTGAAAGGCCTTCCAGTCGTGTTGCTTAATATTGCGCTCATTGTCAATATTTTTGTGTCGATTCAAGCTCTTAATAGCACGCATGCGTTTCCGTTTGCGATCCTTTTCAGCCTCTGTGTCCGAGGGCAAAATCTGCAGGTTTTCAGGAATTTTAATGGGTTTGTGAATCACCGCAGGTGCCACCTTTTGCTCTGTAGCAGCAGCAGCAGCAGCATGCGCAAAATCACCATCAACTGCGTCAGCAGAGTTCACCGGAGCAACACCAGCGTCTACCTCCATCTGCGGTAACTCCACCGCAGAGCTCAAATACTCGTACGGTACCTCTTCTGAGTTGCCATAGCCATCAAACAGCACCTGATACCCCAAGGCCGTGACCTTCGTGACTACACACGAGTACACGACCGCATCAGCATAGTACTTGGCTCGACACTTAAACCCTTCCGTGATCGCTTCCTTCTCTGGCAGCTGAGCAATTTGCTCTGCATCGACGTCAATAACTCGCAAAGCGACCTGCTGCAGCTCTGCAGTTGTACCAAAACCCAAGAACGTGACATTATAGTTCCCATCACTCATGATAGAATCCACGTGCGCCGGATACCACACGCCTTGCTGCAGCGCTTCAACTGCTGAGCCTGGCACAAACTCAATCTCTACAAAATAGACAAAAATGCACATTTAGTCGCATTTTTTGTCTCAAGTAGCGACTTATGAGCTTCATACCAAGTGCTCGTGGGTCTGAAAGATGTTCCTGGGTCTTTTGTGACTCCAAAACGTCAGTGGATGAAGCAGTATTTACCTTGTAATCAATCTTACAGCAAAAAATAGCAGCAAATGACAAGGAATTAGCACGAAAGTGAAGCAAAAATGGTTCACAATAGACAGCAGATTTACCGTCTCTTTCGTAAGCTGAATAACTTCCACAAGATCCTTGGCAATACTCAAGTACTCTTCATTTGTCGTATCACTCTGTAGTAACTCATGAATGTTCTGTAGCTGCTCTGTAAAGGCCACAAGTCGCGTCTCAAGCTCCTGGAGACTCGCCGTTGTCGACATGTTTCAATAATGACGTATTTTCATTGGAGAAAAAGGATTTTGACCAATCACAAAAGTTTTTCATACATGTATACTGTATACACCCACGACATTACCGTCCACTCTACCGGTACGAACCAATAACCTTATAGCAAACAATAATGGAAGGGCTTCGTATCATGGACTTGTCCGGGACGCTAGTGGATCAGAGCTATTTAGTGCAATTGTGGCTCCTAAACAATTGTATCTTTGTATGGATGGGATCAGGAGCTGATAAACCTCGTCTTGGGTCTTTGTCAACGGCAATTGCCACTCGCTACAGCCCCATGCCACTCATCACGTCCATCGTGGGAGTGCCAGAGACGGAAGAGCAGCAAATTGCACAGAGATTAGCGCGACGTACAGGACGACAATGTTTTGTGTCATGTCAATTGCCTGATCATGTACCAGAACTCTTTGCTTATGTTGAGAAACAGATTACTGAACGGTTGACGGAAGAGGGGGGTCGTCAGGAACAAGTGAACGAAACGTAAGGAAGACATGTTTCTTGTCAAGTAATGACCTTAAATGAGCAATGTCTTCAATGTCTTTTGGTAGTACGGGCTGCAAAATTGATTTCTTCTTATCGACAATGTTGCATAAGGATGAGTCTCTCGCGCTGGTATCTGAGCGTCCGCTTCAATTGGACTGCAGCTACTGGCAAGTAGCTTCACTTTTGCCTTCTTTGTCGTACCAAAACAATATCGGTCTACTGTCAGGAGACAGAGTCACAAGAAACCATTGGTGATATGTATCACAAGACAATAGATATCAATGATGGACTTGTAAACTTGTTGTCAGCTACGAATGAAAGCTCATCTTGATCTTGTAGTGTTTGAGTCTGAAGAAGAAAACGACGAAAATATCTGCATGTTCACAGCACTCATCGAAGTTTCAACGACTTGTGACGGAAACTAAGTAAGAAACGTGATTGCAGGTACCTTAGAACTGATAGCCGGACAGTGCCTAGGATTTTTTTCATCGCTTGCTTAAAGTAGCTTAAGGCCACATCCCGAGCAAGCTGGTGGACGGAAACCCGCTGCTGGAAAGGAAGAGAGCGATGGACATGAGCTTTTCATCGTGGCGAAGTCGATCAAGCAGCACTTGTATTTGTTCACGAGCGTCACAGATGGTCACGAGTGAGTCGAACCACACGAACAACCGATAGTCAGCACTGCACATGCCTACAAAGAGACCCATTTTGCTGCGCTCGTACACCATACGTGCCGCAGTGGCTTCTTGCAATGATGATAACCGCTTGCCCAATACTTGGCTCTCACGAGCTTGATGATCTGCCGGCGTCGGGAACATCAAATGGTGTACCGTAGCGTACTGGTTCATCAGCTCCAAACGAGTGCCAAAATCCTCATTGTCGAATGGGAATGTCAACTCGGGTTCAGCGCACTCACCTGTGAGTTCGTTTTTGTAGATGAAATGCTGCAGCAGTGGCAGATCGCTATGAGGTTGCCACTCGGAACGGTTCTTCAGTGAAACCTCAATATCATCCATAGCACCAATCTCCTGAAGACGCTGCGCCACAAACTCTTTCTTTGCTTGGAAGTGGGGGAATTGCTCTGGAGATTGCTGGCTGCTCAGTAGCAGCAAACACACGTCATTCGTCAAGAAGACCACATACGCGTACAGAAATCCTCTACCCAAAGCAAGCACAACGATTCAAACTCACTGTCAGGACACAAACGAAAACTATCTAGTACTCGCAGAATTGATCCTTTACTCACCGGGCATCAAAGCTTGACAAGCAAATTGGTGTCCACGTCTCGGACTTTACTAGTGACGGCGTGTGATACACGAAATTGATCAGCAGTATCAGGTCTACATACCGCACGATTCCGTCTTAGTAAAGCACTCTCTCTCTCCTCTCATTCATAGTCGTCTCCTTACCATCAACCAACATGTTGAATTGCTTCTTGTTTGGCTGTGCAATAGCCACCACCTGCTCCTTTGCCAACAATAGGCCGCATATCATTGTCGACGTTGGGTTCTCGCTGGTCGCCTCATATTCCAAAGCTCTCGTGACTTCACGTCGTCGCTCCGGTTTCAGTCGAAGGAAAGGCACCCCACAGTCCTTGAATCTCAGCGTAGGTGACACTGCCCAGAGCTCTGTCAACGACCTCGTGACTCTGTCCGTTCCATTGAGAAGTTCACGCAGATCGTATCCTGGTTGTCTCTTTAGTACGTCGAGTCCTCGGTCGCTCAGCACCAACAAGATCTGGCTCTGCAGCAAGCGCAGCAGATGCTGCAGACATTCCAACGCGTAACTCGATGTCCTCCTGTGGTGGACACTATTGTCTTCGTCGACATCCCGTTCAATAGCAGCAAACGTGAGGTTGTCGACACTGCGGAAGACGCAACGACAGCCAGCAGTATGAAGCTCCAGCAGTTCTTCTTGTTGCGTGCAGACCACAAACGACAAGAGACCTTGAAGCGAGCTGGTAAACGAACTGGTGGACGCATCGTCCTCTACCGATGAACAGGTTGTCGTTGAGGTGGACAATTTATGGCGAAAGACAGGCTTGCCCGACGTGGAACAGACGATGATGTCCAACTCCAGCATGGACAGAACCTTCGATAAAAAGATTGTGGGATCAAGTGATGAGACGAGTTGCGTCATGTGGGACTTGCACTGATTCTTGCTGGTGTTTTCAACTGGAAGTCACTCGAAAGCACAGCCGGAGGACAAAGGATCCTCATTGGTCACGAGGACAGCATGCTGGCCGATGACTAGTATCAGTCCTGGCATCAGCTCGCATTATTTTTTTCAGAAAGAGCGAACTGATGTCGGTAATGTCTTACTGAACCTGGGCATACACTTCTTGAAAAGGACGCAATTGATGTCGAAAGGTTGCGATCCTCGGAGAAGGCGAAGCGACTCTTGGAGACCCATCAGGAAGTGATCGATGGTAACGGACACAAGAGATAGCTAAGATCGTAAGTTACGATACATTTAGCATTTCATTTATCGTCGAATCATTAAGCCCTCGAAAGACCCATTAGCAGCTCCACTTGTCACTCGCCCAGACGTGGTCGACGAAACGACAAGTAACAGCGCGGAGATCGCTCAAACGAGTAATTCCGAGGCCTCTGAGCAGGGCACGATTCTTCTAGATCGACTTGAGGGACTCAATGAAAATCTGATGCGCGATTGGGGCAGGAACGCACGGAGTGGGCCCAGCTGCCTCTCGCGGACCCGGATGCCGTATTGGGGAGCAATTCAAGCGCCTTTAGCCAGTTCTTGGCGATGGATATACAAACGCTTTTTGCGATGCCGCAGCGTAGCAAAAGCAATTTTTCCTACGATTCAGCCTACGGCGCAAGAAACATGCAGCCTAGGGCAGCACTTCTACCCGCCACATGACTTTGGGGTCAAGATGCCGACCGTCAAAGATATGAAGCTACTTATTGAGCGCTTCACATCACTTTTGTACAAAATGTGTAGACGGGCACTTCAAAGAAGCTGCCACGTGCTACGAGTACACACCTTCGAGCAGCGTGAGGAAGCGGTTAGACCGTCTTACCTCCGCGGGCGGTTGTGGTGTTGTTCGGCGCTGAAGCGCTGTACCAACCGTTTCCGGTCGCCTTAAGCGAATTACGCAACGAACTTCAAAACAAACACCTAACTGCGTCGCGAAAGCTGTTTCTAGTCTTCCTGCGCGCAAAGAGTGTGATGCAGTAAAATTCAAGACTGACTTATATATAATAGAAAATAAGTAAATATAAATCTAACTACTGATTGGTTAAATGTAAAGATCAGATACGTGTCTCTTCAGAAGCGTATCCCCTACGTGCGAGCTTAAATATATATAAGCTCGCTGATGAAGTCCGTTCGTGACGTCATCATGACGCCTAGTCCCAACAAGGCGTCATCTTCGTTGAATGTGAACCTATCCATGGATATCACATTCACGAGGGTGGGTCACATTGATGTGCCTCACCCAAGTGGGAGGTTTAAGATACCACGTACCTTTTTAGATCTCTTCGTTGAGTACCATATACTTAATATACTCGTGTATTATTGGCTCGTTACAGAATGCAAGCGCACATGTGATGGTGGAGGTGTAATGGGCCACATTGCATATATAACATAAACAGAAATAAACAATTACATATGCTGGCAGGTGCTGTGCCCGAATGCGTGGCAATATATTATTGGGACCTAAAGACCCAATAAGGACCAATGTTATATAAACCTGGTTCCCGAAAGGCGGGAACACTGTCATATTACGACTAAAAAACTTTGTAGTTAGTACGAACTAAAACATTTATTAAAGTAAAATTTACTCAATACAGAGCTCCCTCCGTTAAGTTATGGTTACGGTGGACGACAATATCCATCACCTAACAGAAATTATAACATATCGGATTATAAGTATTGTACATAAGAGATCTTAAATAAAAAAGCGGACCTGGACAAGTAGACCATCCCCACTTCCCCTAAAACAAAACAGGCAAGGTTCAGACTGCTGACAGAGCTTCAGTCCCAGACTCCTTGGTTAATTAGACCCGTACCAAGAGATGTGAGACATGTCGTCAACTTGCTTTACCTGTGCTAATAGTGAAAGCTATATGTAATTTACAGTGTTTAGCAGTGTCTTACCTATTATTGTACCTAGACACTTGAAGATGTCGCAAATCCGGCTTACCAATGAGCAGCGTCTTCAAATCTGCTAGTACAAGGATGAGAATCCAGGATTATCTCAGGCGACACTAGCTAAATGGTCAACGAAGGAGTTTGGCCTTGCCAAAACGCTGTCACAGGCGTCGATCAGCAAGATAATCGAAAAACGAGCTAATCTGGAGACGATGGATCCAAGCAGTCTAAATTCGAAGCGCCAGCGGCTGGTGCAACATCCTTTACTAAAAAGCTTTGACTCTTTGGGTCCTGCAGTGTCAACCCGCAAGGTGATTATTACTGGAAAAAACACATTTGCGCGAAGGCCCAGCGACTTGCCCAATCGCTTGGAATTCTAAACGACGCCATCACTTTCTCGCACGGATGGCTTTAAAATTTCAACAATGTCACAAGCTCCGCGCTATTCGCATCCATGGTGAAAGCGGTTCGATGGACGTAGAGGCTCTTAATGAAGCTCTTCCTGATCTGAAGAAGGTCATTGCCGAGTACGCTCTGTGTGATGTTTATAGCATGGTAACTTTCCTGTCTTCCTGTCTACTTAGTGTTTGTAATGGAGTCTAATCAAACATTGGTTATATTTCAGGACTATTCTACAGCATGACACCTGATAGGACTATTGCTAGGCAAGAGTTTAGAGGACACGAGAAAACAACGTAAGTAAATTTTTAGATGGCTGGTTGTTATTTACTAAAACAGTGTATGCGCTGACATCATTTGCAGACGCGAATCTTTATTGCGCTCACTGCAAGTGCCGATGGATCTGAAAAGCTGCAGCCTGTCTTTATCGGAAAAGCAAAGAAGCCCCGGTACTTTAAGAAGAAGTCAGGCCAAGCACTTCATTTT